GGGGGAACTTCGAACTACTCCAGAGGCTACAATTGCCCTATACAATAGCCGAGTGCATAGTCAATGACTGGCGGTGGTCGGCATTTAATTCTGTTCGAACTGGACTCAGTGTGGGGCTTATTGTCCAAAAACTTTGCCGCTACCGAACCCTGGAATTGTTTTCTCGAATCAAAATAGAATCTCGCGGCTAATAGACTATTAAAGCGCTGCTGTGATGATTGACTGATTTTTAACCTTTTGTTTGCAGCGATTGTAAAGCTTAATCATTTTCAAGTATTACTTGCAACTTTTCTCCCGATATATTGGCATTGTATAAATCMTACGGCTCTCGATGCTGGAGTCTAATAATTAATTTTATATTTCCTTCCTTCTTCATATCTGAAGAAATAGACAAGTACAATCGAACTCAGATACTRCATTTTATGCCTGATGTTACTTCAACAGGTTCACTTTGATTAAGTTAATGTACAGCAGAGGACAGATTAGATAATTTTAWATGCAAACTCCTATTTCTATTAGAGGTTTACAATAACCGGTGGCTGTGTCTGGATCACAATAAATTAAGYTTATTTTTCTAATGCAACTCTGAAGAAAGAGGGCTTGACGGATTATTTCCCATTTGAAATGTTCAGGTATAAATTTTAGAAAACACGTAGATTATTATATTTGAAAATTGAATTCGCGCATACAGTTTATTCCATACTAAAAAATGTACATCACTTTATATGCAGATTGTTAGTAAAATCCTTTCTTACCGTTTGAGCCATTGCTGACTGGCGATCCTACAACAAAAAAGTAAATTTCAAATTCAGACAGATAAACGATTCAGATTTAGACAAATAATTGTGATAATAGTTATTTACGTAACCAGTAGGATATGAATATTATTAACGCACGCATGTGCATATTTGGCGCAATGCCTAAAAAAATTAGAATGATAACACATTACAAGAAGAAGAGATTTTATCACACTTTCTCAAAGAGTCTTCAAACATATTAACAGCTTTTATTCAGATTAGATTATTATGATATTCCTATCTTGCCTGGGCCTCAGTGTGAAGTAAAAATTTTGAAACATCGTTTATTTCATTACGTTTCGGCGAGACTACAAAAAAACTACAAACACCAATTCACAATTAAAACATGTTGTATAAAAATTATAATTTACAAAGTCTAAAGTATAAACAAGTAAAAAGTAAAACACCGGAAAAACTTACCTCATGATTGGTAAAAATCAACGTTCATTTAGGTCTTTGCCTTATTGAAAACCTTCAGTTTGTCTGAATTATTTTCTACATTTGCGAGAGTGGCATGCAAGTATTGAGATAAACAGAAATAGTTTTAATTTTTTACTAGTGTACCGAGTGTTCCATACTTATGGCTTTGTTAGGGTTTGGTAAATGTTGCTAAGGTTGTCGGTATCTGATCTGAAATTCACTTCTTTTGCATGTTTTTGATCTTCTCTTTCTTCTTCTGATGGCACTCTTCTTTTATGATAATTTGTTTCCCTAATTAATATATCTGCGTTATCTGTAATTGTTTAGAATGTGATAATACATACATAGAACAAACTAAACAATATTAAAAAAAGAGCATGTACGAACATAAATACAGTCTGAGTAATACTAGTGAAAATAAAACAGCATTAACACAACATGCACACCAAATGTTATATAATTTTGATTTTGACAACACAGATATATTAATTAGGGAAACAAATTATCATAAAAGAAGAATCCAAGAAATGATAGAAATAAAAAACCTGCAAAAGCAGTAAATTTCAGATTAGATACCGACAACCTTAGCAACATTTACCAAACCCTAACAAAGCCATAAGTATGGAACACCCGGTACACTAGTGAAAAATTAAAACTATTTCTGCTTATCTCAATACATGCATACCACTCTCGMAAATGTMGAAAATAATTCAGACAAACTCRAGGTTTTCTAGAAGGCAAAGACCTAAMTGGACATTGATTTTTACCAATCATGAGGTAAGTTTTTCCAGTGTTTTGCTCTCCCAAAAGGAAGAATTTTTTCCCTCAAAAACTGATGAATGTTTTACCACTTTGTAAATTATAATTTTTATACAACATGTTTTAATTGTCAATTGGTGATTGCAGTTTGTGTAAATTTTAAATCTGATGATGGCGCTGTTGTCTCGCCAAAACGTAATGAAATAAAGGATGTTTCAAAATTTTTACTTCACACTTTGAATGAGACCCAGGAAAGATAGGAATATCATAACAAGTACACGCAGTCAAAAAAATAAATCAGAATTCAGATTAGAGCTGTTATAAGGTAGAGATGTAAAACTTTGGAAACTGGAAAATGTTGAAGATCTGTCTGATATTCAGAAAGGCAAATTTTCGATCAATTGCTAAGTTTTCGAAAATCTTATTGTTATCTAGAAACATTTTAGTATTTTATTTAAATTTAACTCGCATTAATCCTCGTCGTTCTCAATATAGAGTCGTAGTAATTTCTCCTGTACGAAGTTAATAATTACACCGAATAATCATCACAAACATATACTGACATGGTTGAATGGTGAAATTAAGTGGTTGTTCAGATTTTCATTTTAATATTGATTTAACCTCAGGAATGTGTCTAAATACCAATTTTTCGTAAATAATATTTTCTTAAATGCAATCAACGTTATGTAATTTTCTATTGGATTATTGAGCTCTACTAATAGGCCAACTGGTGAGCTGTACAATGATGAAAAAATACCTAAAAACAAGGACCATTTTTGAACATTTCATGTAAGAACTATGTCAGTAATGAAACACCAAAAAGTGATTTTTGTATTCTGGGAGGAATCACGAGTTAAACTTTCAATACATAAATATCCAATTAGAAACCAATCCTCAATAGTTTCCGGTTTCCAAAGATTTTCGTATTTTTATCAAGAGTCTGGTGCCAATTTTATAAAATTACTAGCTAAACACTTCAACCTCAACTACTAGCTGTAAGCACTAAAGTAAACTATTTCTCATAACAGTAAATTTAAAAAATGAAAAGTTTCTAGCATGGATAATGATGGTTATCAAACTATTAGTAAAATTTTTTACATTAGATAATATTTTCAGGTAAATATTTTGCGTCTTTCAAAAAAAATATCCTTGCGATACATCTCCCTTAAATAAACTAAAGAAAATAATACCTCTCGAAATTGAAAGAATAATGATGATAAAAAGAAGAGATAATGTTATTATAACACCTCGCAAGCCATTAAAACTTCGTAATTACGTCAAAATTCTACCGTTCTCACTCGGTTTAATTGAGGACCAGAGACAGCAAAACGATTTTCAAGTCGCGTTTGACGCGCTCCCCGTATAATTTTCCGTGTTATTCTGATCAAAATTCGATTTCGCTTGGAATTCTTTTCAATTGTGAGCTGCTTATCGAGTTATCGCCCCTTATGTCGTTTTCTGGTTGTCTAAACAACATCGAGTCTCTGCACACAAGGGCGGAACGATAGTAAGCAACTTGATCGATAAATTGTCGAGATAATGGTGTTTTTTCTGCTTAAAACATTATCAATGATGACTATCATTTAGGAAATCTAATAAAAATGGATCCATCTTGAAGCAGTGTTCAACACTACTGAAGAGTTGTATATTGAGGATTAGCGGAATTAACTGTTTTATGTGCAGTTTAATTAGTGCTTTAACACAGCTTTTCAGATAACTTCACTGGTATGCTAAATGTTAAGAAAAATAAATTTAAATTTATTTTTATTGAATTTATTTCACATGGTACTTCACCGTCATTAACTTATGCACATTTTTGCAGTTTAAGCATCATTATAAAACCAAAGTATCAAACCAAAAAACATTATCAAAGTGTAAAAAATATGTTATTTAACGAATATGTGTTTCCTTGTATGCACGGATTATGAATATATACATATATATAAGCTAAATAATAATAAGCCTATGCTCAAAATATTTGAGACGATGAGTTCGCTCACAAATTACTCTTACTGACATGAAATTTGTAAACAAAATTTCTTCAATTCCACGACAACGCTAGTTTCATTAGCATTTCATAATAATGAGTTGAAATTCGATAAAAAGTACTCTTCTAGAAAAAATTCATAGAAGATGAAGAAATGAAAGATGAAAAATGATGAAAAACGAAAAAATCGGCATGGAATCACCCGACAATCACAACCAAATTCGAAAACGAACACGCTACGAACGACACAAATGATCTAAACAACAAAATTGTAAGCACGCTAAAGAAAGTAAAGTATGAGTTTTGCACAAAAACTGAAACAGAACAGAAAATCAGTGCGGAGACAAAAGCAAACATGGAACAAAGGATAAAACTGAAGAGCGATAAAAATGCAAACGAGGATATTATTAAGGGATTAAATAAGGAATTTTTCCATGAAGAGAGATATAACGGGATATGAAAACAGGAGAATAATGTAGTCTTTGAAGAAAATAGAAGCATGAGGATGATGAGAAGGACATTTTCAAATGGAAAAAATCAGATTCTCAAACTGAAAGATGAAACTGGCAAAACAAGAAACATGAGGGATCTTCTACGAATAGTGGATAAATTATAACAAACCCTGTCCACCAAAAATTCCGCCCTGCATGCAACAGCCTACAAAAGAAGACAAGTTTTGAACTAGGGGTCACAACATATTTCCGACATACGTATATATAATATAATATGGAGGCAACATATAAAGCACTTAGAACGATTAAAAACAACAAAGCCCCAGGAGAGATAGGTGGGAAGATGCAATGCATAGCATCCAAAGGCTTTTAAATATTTGCTTATAAATAACTATAATATTGTGAACTCATTCCGGTTAGCTTGATACATATATGTTGTTGCCAAATCGGAATTAAGCACTATAGCATAACGACCATTTGAAAAGTTATAAGTTTCTAAAAACCATATCAAATGCGACCAAAWGCACATGTTTTGTGTATGTAAAWAWAATTGTWCCGTCTGAAGGATTTTGATAMMGKMKAAAATTGWTSTCRTMKKAAGGATGTARGARTTTTAAATCAATCCCTRATATAAATAATTCACGTAGTTTCGGTTTAAGGCAATTATCTAAGAAATTTTCATGTCTCTACTCCACCAATGATTTACTACTAATCTAAAACTACATATATATTTTAATGCTCGCACTCTTCAATTTTCAGCTAACAACTTACAAGCTGATTGCAAAATGCAAGTTTGATAAAAATTGTAATTCTTTTACAAAAAATTTTTACTTCAATGGATTATTGTGATTCTCTGTTTAAAAGTAWAAGATGATGTTGAAGTCAAATTGTTTACTAAAACTTRAATWTTATATTGTSACAATTATTTATACTGAGAAATRTAYAGAATTATRTATGGAAATGTCAATTAATCGAGAAGAAACTTGTCKAAAWCTTACAGATTMTTTATTTAATAATTAAAGCAAGAGCGATTTGGTGACTAGTCAACTAAMTGTTGACAAAATGTAATTGACAAAGKGAAATTGGTTTTTCTACTTTAGCRTCCTAGCAAGTGTCAAAYAAACTATTTTAKAATGTTTTAATGCTTTGTTAGATGCYTRAGACGCCCACTCAATAACCYAGAGCTCTTAACAAARCAAAATAGTATAATACAAACAAGGAGTCAGACAAAACCAGAACAATATTTGTTTTTCTGCTTATAAGGCATTTTAATTATAATTATACCATGGCTTCTCTCAACACCTCTTCTTATTTCAGTAATCCAAACTTAGACTTCTGTTTCKAACAAGATAATTATAGGGTATTGGTAATTACGGGGTACAAAAATAATCAGGTGTCAGAAAGATAATAGCTGGATGTTTAAGARGCTGTTAAGTCGTTGTGGAATTTTTTAATCCTACCTATGGCGATGACTTTATCGAATGCCGTGGGCATATAATTATGAAGAAGGAAAAATTRCTAGTTTGCTTCTGGTCTTTAAGATATATTATGTCAGAGAGCAGGAAATAATRGATTCAAACACTTTCAGACAAATTAAATTGAAATAAAAAGGAAATATCAATTTTTTTTTAATTGACAAAAATCCCTTATCAAYCATCAAGCAAACAATGAATAGTTGAATATGTCAATTCATCGTTGAGAAAACCAGATATTTTTTGMRTTTTAAGGGGATAGGTATAACCAAGCATAAGAACAACAACATTTCAGAAGATTTACCTTTAAGAAGTTGAATTTTTTATTATCTAATTTATTATTTAACTTATTTCAAAGAAATTCATTGTCAAGTAAAGTTTTTATATAAAACATATATAGTGTATATAGTAAAATAAACAATTTCTTCTTTCACATTTTGAATAAGTGATCAATTTATAAGTTTACTGAATTTACGAATTACCGAAATACCGATTAAGTCGGTTTAACGAGCTAATCAAATATACGAATTACAAGATCAGCAATAGATAGATCCCATTGGCACAAATTTCAGAAATTACGCAACTACGACGGATATACGATTTGCGGGCGGTTTTCTGTGAAAAATAATTCGTTATATTCGTTCTTACGAAAAAATAATCTGGCTTAGAAAATAAGAGCCTGCAGTTYCAGCTTATATACGTAYTTAGGRCACGATTATGCTTCTAACAATTATCAGTAATTTAATTGTTATTAATAATAATAAAACAATAAATATGTTAGTATTCGTCGGTTTAGGCAGCCGTGGCAAATAATTTCTTCCTAATGTTTTGCATGCACCACCGAAGATGCATTATCCGAGATTTTTAGGTCAAAAAATGTAATTTTATTCCGTGTTTAACAAGGTAATGTTCAGTAATATTTTTGCACTTTCGCACGTTCAGTAATGTTATAATAAAAATTGAGGAAACTTTCATCCCCAATTAAATTCCAATTTTATTAATTTATTTTACATATTAATTAATTAATTTAATCTCTTCAAAAACAATCTGAAGCAAAACGGACTAATTTATTGTCTTTGCCAATTCTCAATGAGACATCAATTTAATTAGGAATATTAAAAAGCACCTACTACTTAATGTAATGAAATATGTAGCTACCAATTTGCAACCTCATCAAAAAAAAAAAAATTTACATATCCCAATGCAAATAATTCATCTCAATTACTGAAGTGTAGTTATTGGAATAAAACATAATAAATTTATGAATTAAACAGTGTAATCAATCAGCTTCTGACGGTGGCATGTTAACGGTCGACACTTTTTTTCACCAAACAGGGCATTTTTGCTTGCAAAAATAAGCTTTATGTCGCAACATCATAGTAATAATGAGTTCCAATAAAACTATTTATGACGCCAAATGTAAAATTTACTTCTAAATTGAGGTGGCATGCACTTTCATTTTGTAGCCCATAAAAACGACTTTAAGTACTTTAAGGTTTTCGTCTGGAAATATATTCTCCTGATTGATTAATATTACAATGTAGGATTAGCTCAAAAGTAACTGGGAGAAATGTTGCCATACGCTCTGTAATAACATACTTAGGTATAGCTCGGAAATATACCCAGCAAGAACATATGTATTTGATATGTCCTTCTACGGGTGTAAAAAATATACTCGTTTCACAAATTAATTTATTAACTTGATTAGACAGTAATGCATTGTCAGTTATGTTTCTATAAGTTATGATATTACAGAATATTTTAGCTAAATGGGACGGGGTTCTTAGTTCGTCGCATTTTTTAATGCCCGAATAATATTGAACTTAAAAACAAATAAAAAACAGCATAATTTAATATCGCTCAGGTCAAAGAATACATTGTGTAGTTCAGATATTGTCTGCATAAAACATAAAAATTGCTTGGCCTTCGCAAAAATTACATTATAGAATGTACTGAGTTAAAGCGAGACGAAATAAATGGACGATATCATATAAAACTAGAAATCCTACATGGAAATGTTTGAAATAAAATGAAAAAGTTATTTCGCCATTTAAACGTGAATAAATATACAAAACCCGCAAGAGATCTCCAGAACGACTGATTTTACAAGATTTGTGATGGTCGTCAAGTAAAGATCTGAAGAACGTTAATGAAAAAGAAGAGTGAAGGTCCTACTGCGAATGCGCTATGATTCATCGAGAATCATACGGAAATCGCCCTAGTATCCCAGAAGTGGGATGATTCAAAACTATGGTGTGAAAGTTTCAGATTTTAGGGATTGTTAAGCCATTGAAAGAATTTGAGCATAAAAACACAAGTCCAAAAATATCAGCTTACCGCGCTTCCCTTTTACCACGTTCTAATGCATTTCATATCAATTGTTTCTATGCAATAACATTTATAGCAATAATTCAAAATCTCGTTCTTGAACTAGAATACACTGGTTTAAAGGTGGTCTCTACTGAATTCTGCTGATTCCACTGACAATTTGATTATAGTTTTAAACGACATAAATTAGCATAATAATTTTTTCGACAGGTACTGTTTTGTTTCCATTGATATTGCATAAATCACAGCTAATCTCTACACATATCAAGAAATCTAATGATGTTGGATGGGGTGGCCTTGAGAGCCACGGGGCTGGACCACTTGTCAATTCAATGTTGTCAGAAACGACGGTTCAAACACTGTTCATGGACTTCAACAGAAAAATTTGAAAGTCCATATGGGGGCCCCATTTGCTGCCGAAAATTCAATGGGTAATTTTTACGCAGTCCTAGCAGGACGTCTTGCATAAAGCAATTGACCGTAGATAAGTTCTGTTATAAGATTAGCGACAATAGCAGGTATGGCGCAACTTAAGAGTTGTGAACAATGCCAGCCTAGTTAACAAATGATCGTTTCTAATGACTTTCAGCACGTAATGGACTTGGATTTTCTTCGACCCATACCTGGCTATTGCTACTGTTTAATATCCCATGTGGTGTAAAAGTGTCATCATTTGTCTCAAAGTCAAAAGTGAAAAATGGACTTGGTCGACAAATTCCACAATCTTATGAAGCAGCCACGGACAAAACTTAATTCTTGCATGAGAATTTGCTGGAGTCAAACTTTAACTGCTTGTAATTTTTTTTTGACGAGGGCTTTAATTTTATTTGCAACTCAGTTAAAAACTGCTTCGTTTTTTAGTAAAACCGTGCAGCAACTTTTGCGTTTCAATTTGTAGCTCCCAGATGCATATCTAGGAGTTCCTGATTGGTGTCCTGCATAAAAACGGGATGGTTTGCAAATTTTCTAACTTTCGCATAATGCGACTAAATGTATCAAACTAACAGAGATTTTAGGACATAAGTTCTTTTGTTGCCATAATTAAATGTCTTCTTTTGTTGCACTGAACAATCCTAGAAGTTTGAAACTAATGGGTTTTTCGGGTTTTTAGGCCGTCGTTCGGCCACATATTTTTCTTGCTCTATCCGTAAGAGTCATAATGATTCCCTGCTTCTAACTCGTATGGTGGTTAGATAGCTTGTGAATATCTCTGTCCGTGCTTTTTTTTTGCTTTTTTGCTTTTGAACATATTTATTTCAGACAAGTTTTACATACTTCTTACTGCTACTTATTCTACGCATCCTTAATTCTCACATCTTGTTATTTAAAATGACATCTTATGACTTAATCTAACTTATTCTAACCTAAACCTAAACATTAACACGTCCTCTATGCTTCCTAAGCTAACTTAAATCTAGCCCATGGTCCTCGTTGTGGTACAGGAACTGGTCATCGCTTGTGGTCCACGTCTGCTTCTTAGACTGTGTCCGCAGGGATGTCTCTGTCCGTGTTGGTGGCTTTTCGATATACCGTGTGGTCCAAACGATTCCCCTCCCTAGACACYAAAACATCCAGGAATTCCAGTCGGTGRTTTTSTTCAACTTCCATGGTGAATTGGATGTCTGGGTGCTGTTTMGTTAGATGGTGGAGGAAGATGTCCAGGTTGTCGCGYCCATGCCTTCAYATCACGAACGTGTCATCGACATATCGGTACCAGCTCGTTGGTTTAAGGGGTGCGGTGCTCAACGCTGTTTCCTCAAACTTCTCCATGAATAGATTCGCCACCACCGGGCTGAGTGGCCTTCCCATGGCTACTCCTTCCATTTGTTCGTAATAATCTCCATTCCACAGGAAGTAGCTGCCCCTTAGACAAGCCTCGAACAGATTTGTTGTACTCTCTTCAAAGAGCTCCGCCACTAATTCTATGGATTCTTCCAAGGGTACCTTTGTAAATAAAGATGTAACATCGAAGCTGACCAGCATGTCCGTAGGTTCCAGTCTGAGGTCTTGGATCTTCTTAATGAAATGTTCGGAATTCTGGATTTATGTTTCTGTGGACCCCAAGTGAGGCTGCAGAAGAGAGGATAGATATCTTGCTATACCGTAAGTTGGTGATTTCGGGGCACTGACGATTGGTCTTAGTGGAATTCCTTCTTTGTGAATCTTCAGTAATCTATATAAACGTGGGTCGAGGGCATCTGACCTAATAATCCTCTTCATGGTGTTCTCGTCTATTGAGGATATTTTGATCAGACGGTTGATGTTTCTGAGCTTGGTTCCAGTCGGGTCTTTTTTGAGGTCTGTAAGTGACTGGGTCCAATAAGTTTTGGATTTTCTGCTCGTACTCCTCTGTGTTAATTATGACTGTAGCGTTTCAGAAACAAGCAAGGATCACAGAATTCAAATCAACAATTATTTTTAAAAACTTTTACAAAAACTCCTGTGTCTATCACTTTTAACGAAAAAATATAGGCTTTTTTGCAAATTGACAAATTCTAGATTTTCCTCTGTGTCTATGAAGCGAGCCAAAATGGTAAAATTTTGATTCCAACGTTTTAATTTTTGCTTTAAAATAGCACAACACATATCCTACTTCATGTTACCACTTTGTGTTCCTCACTGAAAAAGCGTCCACTGTTGAACATTTATACCATTGAAAACTGACCTTAATGTAATTTTAAGAAATTTATACTTTTTCGTTTCTGTTTCTAGTATTGAAGACATACCTGTAGAATAGCTTCTTATTGTAGATAGAACGGTCTCAAGAGGCATTAAAAAATATAGAGAATTGTTCAACGGCAAGAAACTTGTTTGAAAAAAACTACAATGTCTGTTAATGAAATGCTTTTTCATGTCTATTCCCTGTAGGACACTAACTGTAAAATACCTAACCTTTTGATTTCTGGGTATTCTTCAAAATCACTTCTTTATTCTTTATTTACAAAAATTTCCATTGATAGTGATGAGATGATTTTTCACGGAACGCAGTAAGTAACTTCTTTTATGGGGCCACCCAAATTGAGCAATTTCGTCAGCTCTTTGTCTCGATCAATGAAGAATCATGCGGTTTTAAATCCCGGTAGTAGAAATTGTTCAAATACTGTTAGCTGTCAGTTTTAATAAATTGTTTTCATTGTTGACTTCAAAGGGTCTCGAGTTAATGTGTTTCACCAGTCTATATGTCCTTGTAGCAGATTTTAGGTCGAACTATTACCTGGGACGACATGACTCAAGGGCAAGACACCAAAACTGGTTAAGCTGTTCTGTTTTATTTCTAATGTTTTCAAAATAATTATCTAAATTAGCACTTCGTTCTAAAAGTGGATTGGCAATATAAACTATTAAAATGTATATTACATCCCCATAGATACCTACCTATCTTTTACATTCATGCATGACCTATAATCTACTGACGTGAATCAGCACACTATCACAATTCTTAAAAGGATTTTTTGATTTTTAACCGTTTAAAGCGAACAAAATCATAATACTTGTTGTGGCATGGAGTGTGCTTACCAGCGAGTTTGAAGTTGATTATGCTTTAGTTTATCCCGCCCAAAGATTCATTGGAGAAACTGGAGCCTCTAAGCAATTGCCTCAGATATGGGATTATGTAACAGGTGTAGTATGAAATATGTTCCAAATTCAAAAAATATGATGCAAAGTTAAGTACCGGCCTGGACTGAAAGTTTAAATCGACCGAATTTTGTACATTACTGCGTTATTATCAAATGCTCCATTGAACTAGGTTTATTCAATTACGTTCCTAAATTGGTTAATAACTAAAGGAATAAAATTAATCATTAAACCGAAAGAACCCAACAATGTATTGTTATTCTATGTACAATAAAGATCAATATGTTCAATAAAGTACACATAATACCATCCATTTTATATTAGTTTCCTCGAGTTTTTGCCTAATAAATCAGTCAAACATACGGGTTCATTCCTTCTTTGTTAACCAATTCCAATTGTACTCCGCTTTTCGATCAATAATGACTAAAAACACATGAGCTATTTTAGGTTACGACGAACAAAGCATTTAATACAAGGGTCTCAGCAAATACGTGTATAGATAATTACATTTCCTTATAAGAAAGGCCACGTTGTTCCTCAACAAAAACGGATGTTTATTTTCGAATTATACAAAACTGACACTTCTCGGTCGTTCAAAGGAAAATAAACCATTAAATATTCCAATAAATCATTATCGGGTGACAGCGGATCGAATCTAAGCGAAAAGCGTTTTGTATATTAAGCGTGCATGTACTGGACGCGTCCTGTACATATTTTCCCATAATGATCCACCTGAGTGATAGCATTTATGACTTCATAAATACTCAATCAATTTTAGGATCATAACCCGTGAATATATTTTTTTATTTTCTCCGAAATTGTTAAAAATATTAGTATTTAAAAATTTCATTTTATTAAGCTTTCAGCTCTATTTTATTACTTACGATGTATCAGTGTGCGTGTTTAACTTCTGATAAATGAAATTTATATTCCCCTGCTGTATAACGTGCACTTAATTGAAAAATCAACATTAGATCCAGCGAAGTAAGCTGGAGGTCATTTGTGAAGTAACTTTCCTGATTATTCCTGATTATATAATCCTATTTGATAATAAATCTTTCCGTTCTGTACAAATCAGTAAGCGAAAAACTTTGTGCCTAAAGTACCTAAGTTTGTTTGCAATTATTGTTTTTTATTGGTTGAAAATAAATGTTTCTTTTTGTTCAGATGCTTTCGAATAATCGCGCTTCAAAATTACAGTAACAATTAAACTTGCTTGCATTGAGATTTTGGTTTTCAGATTAGTGTTCAAACAAAAATTATGTCATTGGGTCGCCTTATAGTACAAATGATTAGGAGATTCGGTTACACCGTTAAAATCGTTGAATAACAGGAAGAAAATCTAGTTTAAACAATTGATTTCGGATATATTTATTATTTTACTTCGAGAAAAATCACTAATTATTTACGGAAGAGGAATTTCTGCAATAAAACACATGGGGTTTACGGACTATCTTAGAAGTTGTTCGAAATGTTGTCTATTTTCCTGCAAACAATAATAAAGTCTGTTTTGGAACCCTCCCTAACATTGACAAGATATTCTCAGATAGATCGATTGGCAGAAGAGGACCAATTGAATGGTCTCCAAGATCACCTGATTGAACAACTTTAGACTTATTTCTTTGGGGACATCTTACGGCCATTGTTAATAAAACACAACCTGCTGATATTGATGATTTTAAAAGGCGAATTGCAGCAGAATGCCGATCAATTCCCGGTGAAGTTTTCCGAAACGTTATGGAAGAGTCCAAAAACAGACCTTATTATTGTTTACAGCAAAATTGACAACACTAGAACAACTTATAAGATAGTGCGTAAGTAGATAACATAGGTTTTATTGTAGAAATTTCTCTTCCTCAAATAAAAAGTTATTTTTGTCGATGTAAAATAATCAATAAATAAGGAATAAGATCAAAATTTAAAAAAAGAATTGCTGCTATTCTAATCACTTATATTACAAGGAGACCCAATACATTTGATTTTGTGTAAACACTAACCTGAAAACCAATATCTAAATGCACGCACGTTTAATTGTTTCTAGTCATAACATGTATGGATTTAAATGTTCCTTTTTATTAGAAATTGAGTTAAGCTTCGCATATTGCTCAATTAACTGTCTGAGCCATGCAGATGCTTGGATTTGTTATCCGTTCTGTTAGAAATTTCACCTCCACTGGTGCGCTGAAAATGCTGTTTTATAGCTTGGTTAGATCCAAGCTTGACTATGCATCTATCGTGTCTACGATCTATCAAACTACTACCACTCTTAAAGAAATCAAATCAATAACTGGAAATTTCTTC